CTCAATACATCTCTAGTAAGTATGGACAAGAACTTTGTTATAATGATGAAAAAAACTTTTAAAAGCAAAAATCTTGATTAAAAATATAAATAATACAGTATTTTAAAAAAGCAGAAAAATGCTCAGAAAGCAGAAACGACAGAAAAAAAGCAGAAAAATCTTCAAAAAGCAGAATTTTTCTGCTAAAAGCAGAAGAGGTGGCAACTCTGACAGTTGTCCTCTTTTCCTACACTGATCATAAAATTCTTTTTTTTTTAACTATAGAACTTCTATAAAAATGTCTTTTCATACATTATTTATCTCAAACTCTCTTTTTCAGAATAAATATATCGACAATTCGCGTGATCGAATAGAAACGTTTGTCTTCTATCAGAAATTCATGTAATTTCGATGTTTTCTATTTCCTCCTTTGAGAAACAATAACAATAAATTTTATTTTATTTTTGTGTAAGTCTATATCATATTCTTATGTGTTCTTTGCTGTAAGAGCAGTTCTTATCGCCTTATATTATAGAAATATTTGTCGAATATAAGGTGTAATTTATTTTCTTCATGTGTAGTACTTGTATATGTTAATGAGTTTCGACGGGTTGTTGGCTACAATCACTTACCTACGTTGCAACATCTCTACTTTTTAATTTGCTTTCCTGCAAATTTGGCTGCAACATTAAACAGTATATTGATCACATAAGGGCCATCAACAATATTGGTTATCACCTCCACGAGCAAGTTATGGATGTGGGTATGAGTATTAATGTTGCTGAAGAGAAGACCAATACCTACACCCTGTTTACAGTATCGATCGCTTACTTAATGTATTATTGCGATCCTCATGTTCCGCTATGGCATGAGATGAGTTGCATTATTGCTAATGTTCTAATACGAACGTGAAATTTGTAGATCTCGTGCTAAACGTGCACTACATTGATTCAAAGTTTGAACGAGAAAGGTTCTTGTCCGATCAAGCAAGATATTCAGCGAGTAAACAAACGAGGGTGTGCGGGTGTGGGTATAGAAACGAATCACATCCACACCCACACCCTTGTCTAATTCGAGTTATATTATAAACGAGCCTCTGAAAGCTTAGAAGTAATTCGAAAATAAATAAATAAAAATTCAGATCACTATATGGCGCTAGTAGAAATTTAAAAAAAAAGTGTATTTGAATTATAAATTATAATTGAGATAGGGCTGTTCTATAATTACAGCAGAAAAAAATGTTGAGCTGAACTTGTATTATTGTCTTCTTCAATATATTTATGCTGTGAAACCGAGCACTGATCTAGTCAGACAGGCTTCAGCCGCGTAACTGACCCTTTATTTCAGCGTCGCGGCTGGGAGGCGAGAAGTGCCCCGAAGAGCCGCGACACAGGCACGTCTCTTTGTACGCAATGAATAGTTATGGAACAGCTTCATCTCAATTGTAATTTATAATTCAAGTAAATTTTTTCTGCCTTTCTGCCGCAATTATAGGACAGCCGTTTGTCCATTGAGATTTGTACGTCATTTTTTTGTTCTACCAATGAGGGTCCTGATGTTTTTTCGAAATTTTCATTTATATTCGGACTCGAATTAGGCAGCTACTCGAGTTGGCTTTAATCGATTGAGCAAATTAAAATTGATTAACGATTAAAATCAAATTACAATCGAGATAATCAACAATAATCCATGAAGTAGATTATTTTTTGTAATCGATTTATGACTTTGAATCGATGTGAATCGAATTTTATAGAAAAATGTGGCAAATTCTTCCAAAAAATCAGATTTGTAATTTGATAATGAAAAATAGTCGTGATTCTCTTAGTAATATTTTTCCCTGAGTGATGATCATCTATGATTTAATTACAAAATGAAGCTCGATTGATCCATTCTTTTGAGTGAAAGAGTTCTTTTGTGATCAATAGAATGAGTCATTGTCGTAGAAAAATGCAATACTAAACAACACACTACTAACATTTGTCATATATGAGATTAGAGGACTATTATTTCGTTTACTCATGAGAAATAAGTTTCGATATTTAGGTGTAGTGCACTCGTGCATGCAAATATAAATGTATATTTTTTCATCATAATAACACGAAACCCAAAGAAAGGCAAAAAAGAAAGAGGAAGAATAGACAAAATGAAATACATGTGATGATGAGCGCAATAATGACTACAACTGCCTGCCTGATGAAAATGTCATGGTTGGCTGATTCACGTAAATAAACATAAGTGGAAAAAATCAAGTAATTTTGTCGACGATAAATACGAAGTAAAAACTAGTTACAAATACACAAAACAAACTCGCATACTCCAGTATCACCTAATACGTAAGTATGTTTGATGTCCAACGTTATTAGACTAACAATATAATTAAAGTTGAAAGTCAACAGTAACTACTAACAATATAACACGACGGTGTTAGCGTCCATGATGAATCACTTGGACGCTAAACGATGATTAAGATGCGCCTTCTAGTCTAATTGGCTTAGGACATCTGCCCGGATAGCAGAAGGTATGGGTTCGAGTCCCATCAAGGTCATCTTTTCCATCGTTCTGTCACATAACATCAGTGACATTGCTTGTCTCTTTCGTTCTATACATATGTGAGCTAACAGACGGAACATGGACATGAGACCTTTTAACCATCAGGAAGTAATTTTAAGAAAGCTCCAATTGAGAATGCTTAGTTTATGCAATCGATAGTCTAGATTGAAGTAGCGTTGACACTTACAATTATCTTACCGTCAAGCGTGTCAAATGGAATGACTTTTACAATGCTTACATTTCACCCAGAGTTATGGTCTTCGAAGAACTTCCACAGGATTTCTTTTAATGATGTAGAAGCAGTGAAAAATAGTTTTGGACCCTAACAAACTCAATTAAAGTCTAAGATCTGGACTTCAAAGCAATAAAGTCTTAATTCAAAAAATTGAAGAAGCTACACAGTTTTTCAAATGTAACACACAGCGGAAATTTTTCACAAATACACTCTATTCGTTCGTCTGTATGAGCATCGACCAAAGAGTGCAGCAATATGATGAATTTCATCTGTTAACATGTTTGTCTTTCTAGAAAAAATCTCTTTGAAGTCAGCACGAGTAAAAAAAATGCCTGACGAAAAAAAAAGGCAATTAGAGAGGTCAAATTGAGTCGATTTAATCTTATTTAGGATACTTACCTGTTATTCCGACCACCGCATAAATTTTATTTGAAAATTTATGCGGTGATCGCGATAACAGGAAAGTACCTATATAGTTTTTTCTTCCAAACTATGTGTTATTTGCAAATCGATCTGTGCAATCTGATACATTAATCTTTTTTTCATTAAGGGGACCCCCCCCCCTTTTCAAGGTTTCTCGAGAACGGCTTGGTGAAATTTCCTCAAACTTTCAGGGTAGATAGATCTCGATGAGTACAGCAAAAGTTGTCATAGATGCAGAATTCGAAGATGCTGGCTTTCCAGAGATATTTGCGACCCAAAGGCGAAAATTGACCTGAAGTTCCCCTCCCCCCCGCAAAACTCTTATACTCTATTGTTTAGGGCTGAAATTTTTTCTGCAGAAACTAGGAACAAATTGGGGTGCATTTTTTTTTTCTTCGGAAAATATCGTTCCTGAGGGTCAGGAGAACCAAATTACTGACGGCACTATCAAGAAATGTGATTTTTTTCGTTTTTTTTTTATAGTGCCAATTTTGTGGTATCTAGTAAAATTCCTTAAGAAGAATATTTTCGAGAGAAAAAAAAAACACGCACCCCAATTTATTCAAAGTATTCACAGTAAAAATTTCAGCTCGATTGATTGGGGTACGAGAGGAGAAAAGGGGAGAAAACTTCATTTTTTTGGTGAAAAAACTGACTTTGAGAAAAACGCAAAGAAATTTCTGTTTTTTGGTTTTTCAGCATATTTTGCGATTTGTTTCGAGTTTTTTTATATATAAGATGTGGGTTTTCAGTTCTCAAAGTGTGCTCAATGGATAGAGGGCATGTAAATCTATATACTAATCACAAAAAATGAAAAACGAAAAGTGTGAAAATTCTGAGTCGGGAAAGGGGAGGGGTGTCTCCTTAAACATAAGAAAACTCGAATCGAAAGGACGCTATATTGTTTTCGTTATGATTCTTTCCCCAGAAACTAAAAATCTTCAGTTAGAAACAGCTAAGTTTGCATAAAAAAGAGACTTAGGATTGCAAAAGCCTCATAAATAAGACGTTTTGGACGATCGAAGCATAATCATTCGCTATCTTTGAATGGACCATCGCAAACATTACAATCATTTGATCTGATCTTGAAATATGCAACGCGTACTATACGGATCCCCTAAAGTCTTTACTCCCGATCTCTTCATGTCTATGAATGTGGTTATTAGCACAATCACATTAAAAAAATCGAAAAATTCAATCTAAAACTCATTCTATATAGATAGTACAAAACTTCATAAGCTATCAATTGGTAAAAATCTTGTTCTGAAACTTTCAAAATTTGATAGATATAAAATAAAAACTGGCAAGCTGTTGATTGCTAAATCTTTTTCGAAGTTTCTGCGCTAGTTACTGGCTTCGCAGCGGCCTTCTGAAAAAATATAGGAATATATAGGAATTTATAGGCCAAAAATTTATAGGATTGCCTTCAACTATATAAGAAATATATAGGACGTTAATTTTCGCTACAAAAAGTTTTTGACGCCTAGAAAAACTACAGCAACATCGTAGATTGTAATGAGATTCTTATTCTACATTCATCCTATATGAGCTAAATAAAAAAGTATCGTCAAGTTGTGAAAATCAATGACATGAAAATTTTTTTCAACAATAAAAATAACAATTTGTTCAATTTATTTTTAGCTATTTTGCACATAAATGTAATATAAATGTTACAAAGTTAAATTAAATAAAGATTAAAAAAAGCTTTTTGGTTTATAGAAAACAAACGATATCTTTTATCAATACTACTGTAGTATCTCAGCTTCAAAACTATATTAACAACATATATACATATTACAAAATGATACCACTTTTAATTTAAAATGATAGATGCATCGGTTAAGGTTTTTTGTCGTTTTTGTTGTTGTTGAGAAAATTTATTTTTTTGTTTTTTCTGAATTTTAATTAGTTCTTCTGTTACTTTTGATAACTGCTCATTAATCTCTTTGCTTTTTGTATTACCACCATGGATTAAGATAGTTGATCTATCTATCTCAATGCTATCTTTTTTCTTTAAAGCAAGTTGTAAACGTTCACTAGCATCAGCAATTATTGAGGTGGCATCATTAAGTTCACGTTGTAAAGTTTTTTGTTTCAATAATAATTCATCTTCTTCATTTAGTATTTCTTTACAAATTTCAGCTTCTTTTAAATTTTCTTTATTTTCTTTTTCAAGACGTTCAGCTGCTACTTTTTTAAAGTGTAGATCTTGTTTGTACACAAGATAAGATGATTGAACTGACTTAATAATTTCTTTGTTTATTTGTACCTAGATTAAGAAATAGAAAAATATTAAATAAAGATAAAATAGACGGATATATGCCTTGTGACTTGAACCATTACCAGCAAATTTTATACCATCATATGTTGACCTTAATCCATTGATTGACGAATCAGATAATATCGATCGATTTTCCGGAACTATATTTTCATTTATTGAAAACCACGTTCAACATCAGCATTACCATGAGGAATAATAAGAATGTTTTTAATTAGTTTGCTTAACGTAGAATATTTATGACGACCATCCGTCGTTGTAATGCTCAAAACTTTATTCCAATAATAATCAATACGATGATATATAACAATTTCAGCACCTAAATAATCCTTTTTTTTCTCTTTAATGTACCACGTTTCATCAATGTGTTCAAGTGAATAATTTAACCATTCATCACGTGTATAATCAATCTCTTGATCACTCAATAGACCTGGAACAGTTCTAGCAATACGTACGATATCATCACTATATTGTACAGATCTATACGAGGGATGAAGAATTTGTATATCACGTAAAAATGAATTTCTTAATGGTAGATTCTTTTTCAAATACTCAGCTATTGTATGATAAATGGTTCTAATATCTTCATAAAATGTTTCTCGCTCTTTTTGTGTAAGATTACTTAATAGTTTTCGAGCTCCTTCTCCTGATAATTAAAAATAAATGAATAAAAAATACATGTTTCAATTAAGATTAATTTTTACATTACCAATACGTATATTTTTATTATTCAATTGTTTTTCATTTAATTTAAAATCTATATATAATAAATCACCTCCAACTTTATCACCAACACAATCTGATGTTAAAAATTGTAATAAAACTAAACGATACAACGATGGCAATTCATAATAAAGAAGATGTATAAGTGGTGCTTCTTGTTGAAACAATGTCAAAAAACGATCGAATATTGTTTCACATAAAAACAATACAAACTGCAATCTAATTTTAATTACATACGAAGTTAACGATTCTTTAATTCTTTCATAACGATCATTATTTTGAACTTGTTGCTTTTTATTGACTGGTAAATACATTAAAAAATATTCATGTAATGGTTCCCATAATGCTACAAATAATTCAACATAATATTAACTTTTAAAATACATGTATAAAAAAATGAACTTACGTAAAACGCGCGTTATTACTTTGCCTAACCAAACCCACCGTGTATTGGTGAAATATAGTATTGTCTTTTCAATAACACAATTATAATCGCTAATTATACCAATCAAATCTTCTTTGCGAGCAGGTGATTGTTTAAACCATGAATAAATATCGATACATTTATTGTGAATATTCCAATCTGATGAGGATAAACCTCGTAAAAAACAAACAAAATACTCTGATACATTATCCAAAAAGGCATCTATACTTACCAGCTTTAAAACCATTATGTGCTACATGAAGATGACAACCACCAAGTTTCAAAAGACCACAACGAACCTTTTTCATTTCATTTTCAATCATATTCTCCAACGATAAATTAACAAATAAACTATCACGACCTAACATTAATAATTGTTTAAGTTCTAATCCATCAGCTTTAAGTGAATCTAGAATAGCAGTTTTAAGAATAGCTGCTGTTGCATGTCCTAATAAAATAGATTTGTAATATCTAGTAACAACTAGGGGTGTGAATTTATTGTTATTGTTATCAATAACAAATAACAAAAAAAGTTATTATTATTAATAACAATAACAAAAAAAGTTATTGTTATTAATAACAATAACAAAAAAAGTTATTTGTTATTAATAACAATAAAATAACAAATAACTTTTTTTTCCGAAAAATCTTAGTTATGCTTTGTTACTATGTAACAGTATACCAGCTCTGTTTGCTCAGTATTGTCCAATTGCTCGATGATGTTACTAACCGCAATCTGCATTAGATAGCCTATGAAACTGAGAAAAATCCTAAAAAGATCTTTTCAAGTATCCTGCTCATCTATAGGCAAAATTTACGGATCGCTTTACGAGGAACGATTCCTCAATGCTCAATTGTCTTTGACTTGATGTGTTGGTCAAATATAAGCCTTTGGGAGATGTGAAAATGTCTAGAAAGATTGTACAGATCGTAACTCGAAAAATGGCACCTAGAATCTCATTTCGCAAGGACTTTTATTTGACCAAAACATCAAGTCAAAGGCAATCGAACATTGAGGAATCGTTCCTCGTAAACCGATTAGTAAATTTTACCTGTAGGTGAGCAAGATATTTGAAAAGATCTTTTTAGGATTTTTCTCAGTTTCATAGGCTATCTAATGGAGATTGCGGTTAGTAACATCATCGAGCAACTGGACAATAATGAGCAAATAGAACTGGTATACTTTTACATAGTAACAAAGCATAACTAAGATTTTTCTAAAAAAAAAGTTATTTGTTATTTTTTTGTTATTAATAACAAATAACTTTTTTTGTTATTGTTATTAATAACAAATAACTTTTTTTGTTATTTGTTATTGATAACAATAACTTTTTTTGTTATTGTTATTGTTATTAATAACAAAAAATAACAATAACTTCTCACCCCTAGTAACAACAAGTCCTTCATCGAAACACCAATATTTGACTAATAAATCTAGCTGTTTACGATCTTGGTTGTTGGTCTGTTCGTCGAAGCATAAGACGAATTTTTCATTACGTTTTAGAGATTTAATAAGTTCTTGATGAAAATATGGACCAAGACCATGAGATAAGACATATGAAGTTTTTCTTGACTGCATGCTAAATTCTTGTGCTATTTTAGAATCAGGAAACATGTGACGAAAAACATCTCCGATTTCATCACATGAATTAAAGCTATAACCACGTTGGGCAACTGTTAATGCCCATATCGCTTCAGCTTTTGTAATTTGTTCTTAAAAGTCTAATACAATAGGTCGTTTTGTATTATCTAATCTCAATTGTGATATTGAATTTGTATTATCTGTTGATGATGGTGTTGCTTTTAAAGATGTAATACAAATTGTTGAATTATTTTTTAATGATGTTATATTATTCACATGGGATGACTCAAGTATTACATAGGTCATGCTCTGTACCTCCTCTCTTCCGCAAAGTAATCAATATCACAAGTAGTCCAACAAAAAAGCTTTTATGGCATAGTGGTATAGCAACACTTTCTCTTTCTAAGCATGTTTACGCGATACTTAAACGATTTTTATGGCCTTTTGTTTTCATGTGCTGCACTATGGCTCCCCAACCTTGATTGGAACAATCAAGATCGCCTGTTTTACATAAAATACATTTGAATGTTGATGTATTCTCACCTTGTTTTAACCATTTATTCACATTAATACCATCTGAATCTGTTTTGTTTAACCAATCAGGATTAAATTTTGTATATTTTGGCATTAATATTTAAACATGAAGAAACCAAGATAGTCAAGTTCAAAACAATTGGTTTTTTATTTTTAATAGAAGATGAAATCTAGAACAAGATAAAAATAATGTTGACCAATGTAAAATGTTGGTGTAAACTTGAACTTTTTTAAAGAAAAAATTCACTCGTCTATTCTATGAGAGAATCTTTAACAATACGTACAAAAACAATTCAAGCAATGCATGCAAAGAGAATTGTCTCTATGAACTAATAGGAAAAAAGCATAACATCTATTGTCGCTAACATCTACGTTACATTATAGATATCAATTACAACATTTATGATAAGTTAGATGTTTTTCTAAAGAATACGTAACTTTCTTTACAACAATCTTCGATTTTTCAAAAAATATAGGAATATAGGAAAACTGATCAAAACATAGTCTATTATAGGACTAGTTTGAAAAATATAAGAAATATAGGAAATATAGGACGACTGCGAAGCCAGGCGCTAGTTATGGTTTTAAATTTTCTGTTATAGTTTTAGATCTGATATTATAGAAAAGGAGCTCATCAATCGAACTTATGAGTTGACTCTGACCAAAGAAATGCTCGTAGCACTAAAAGGTTTCAGGCTGATCATACCGATATTCAAAGACAAAAAGAAAATAAAACAGAACTAATGAGCATGCTAGTAAGGATCATATGCCAAATGCCATTCCTCTTTCTTTATTTCACGAACTAACCAGCTATGCTATGCCACTTACTACCTTTGTTATCGATGCTATGCGATTTCTTTTGGTGTCTGAAGACGAACTTGTGAGTCTCGAGAACTTGAAATGAAGAGTTTATATGGATTTTTGATTACTGTAAAACGTTCATTGCCACAGTATTATACTATCCACATGAATATGTTTAATACAAGCTGACGTCTTTTCGCATGGTTTTAATCATTTGTATCTAAAAGCTTTTTGTTTGAAATAAAATGACATACTACATTGACATTTCTTAGGAAATTGACGACGATCAAATAGGTTTTGCACTAGGTACTACAGAAGTTAATCAAAATTTTATTGAATTCTACAAACTAAAACGAATCAACGATTTAGGTCGCTTTTCTGTTAAGATTTTTTAAGAAAGACTTATCGAAAAACAATAGAATGAGACTCTTCTTGTTTTGATCTTCTAAGGAATAGTCTGTTATATGCATTGCTTCCCTAGACGATCTCTTATTTTTCTCTCATTTATTCTTGTGCCAATCAACTGCCCTAAGCTATAGTGATTAATTTCATGCCAAGACAATTTTTTTCCTCAAGATTTGAGGTTGGCATTTTCAAGAGGTGATTAACTAACTCTTGGCTATCTTTAAAAATGAATCTGTGTGAACATTGCTTATTGATAAGTGACTGCTATTCTCTGTTTTGTGCTGGTTTATGTTGATAGTCTCTTTCCAGTCTCATAAACATGTGTAATGATAGTACAGGGGAAAATTAGCACAACCATTAAAACAGCGTTTGAATATTGCATATAGTAATGTTAAAGTTTGAAGAGATAGCTTATTGGAACAATAGTTCGATTCTATTTGATCCTTTATTAAGTTCTGCCAGTCCTATTCAATTGAAGCTTTAGAGGATTGTGTCGATTCTGGCTAAGGAAGCTCATAAGCATCCAGGAATCTGCTATAGTTATGCCACCCATTTTGACAATATCTCATAATCCATTAGTTTTTCTGCTTCTCGACGGTGTGATTATTCTCATGATTCATATCCAACATGCCTGTTCAGCGATGCAATTCATTTTCATAGCATTCAAACCTCACACAACTACGTCAACATGGACAAGGAGGCATCGCTCACAGTCAGCAGAGCCAGCACTGCCGAAGTCAATTCCAAGAAACCATCAGAAGCATCAAAGCAAATTATCGATAACACCACTACCACTGTTGCTACTTCTTCGTCGTCATCCTTTCGATCACGACCGACGCGAATAATACAAAATTTTCTTCTGATTTGGCTCGACGCTAATATCGACGACAAGAATGAAGATTTTCAAAATTCTTTCACACAAATTCGAAACATCGTCAATACAGTAGAACCATTTACTGTTGCCGATCAATGCTTCGAATATTTGAGAAGTATCAAAGATGAAAAAATCTTTTTAATCATATCTGGGGCACTCGGTGAAAATTTCGTCCCCTTGATACACGATATGGCTCAACTTGATTCCATCTTTGTTTTCTGTAAAAACAAAGATCAACACAAAGAATGGGCAGAAAAATGGTCGAAGATACGACGTGTTTGCACCTCAATCAAGTCGATTTGCAGACGATTAAAAAAAGTCGCTCGCGAATGTGACCATGACGCAATTCCAATGAGCTTCGTTTCAAAGCGTTTGATGGCAGATGCAACATTACCGAGTCAACAAAATCTCAACCAATTAGAACCATCATATATGTACTCACTACTTTTCAAAGAAATTGTATTGGAAATCAATGAAGATGACGATAAGCAATTGAAAGATCTCATCGTCTTTTGCCGTAACAACGATATTCCTGAATCCCAATTAAAATTTTTTCAGCAGGAATACTACCAGAAATCGGCAATTTGGTGGTATACAGCTGAGATTTTCCTCTACGGCATGCTTAACCGCGCCCTACGGTCACTCGACATGGAAGTGATGACAAAAATGAATTTTTTTATTCGCAATCTCCATCGACAGTTGGAGCAACTGCACGAAGCACAAGCAGATATGTATAAGAAGCAATTTATTGTTTACCGCGGTCAGGGACTCAGCCACCAGGACTTTGAACATCTGCGCGACTCGATAGGTGGACTCCTTTCGTTTAACAATTTCTTGTCAACTAGTACAGAGAAACGCGTAGCCATGGAATTCGTTCAACGTGCATTGCAAAAGAATAAAGACATTGTAGGTGTTTTCTTTGTAATGACAATCGATTCAAGTAGAGTATCGGCTTCAACTACTCCATTTGCTCTCGTTGACGAATACAGTGCTATTGAAAGCGAAAAAGAAATTCTCTTTTCCATGCATACTGTTTTTCGTGTCAATGAAATCAAGCAATCAGACAACAACAATCGTCTATGGGAAGTTAAATTGACTCTCACAGACGACAACGATCCAGAACTGGCTGTGCTCACTCAGCACATAAAAGGAGAGCTGTCTGGATCAACAGGATGGCATCGATTGGGTCATCTAATGCTGAAAGCCGGTCATTTCAATCAAGTTGAAGAACTCTACATCGAGTTACTAAATAATGCTTCCCATGACGATGATAGAGCACATATCTATCATTATCTTGGATTATTGAAAAGTGACCAAGGACAATACAAAGAAGCAGTTACATTTTACGAAAAATCGCTCGAAATCAAGCAAAAAACTCTCACGGAAGATCATCCAAGATTGGCTGCAACCTACACCAACCTCGGTCTCGTGTATGACAGCATGGGTGACTACTCGAAAGCACTTGAATTTTATGACAAAGAACTTAAAATATCCGAAAAAGCTCTGCCTTCGAATCATCCCTCATTGGCTACTTCCTACAGCAACGTTGGTTCGGTGTATGAGCACATGGGTGACTACACGAAAGCACTTGAATTTTACGAAAAAGCACATCAAATAAACGAAAAAGCTCTGCCTTCGACTCATCCCTTATTGGCTGCTTCCTACAACAACATTGGTAGTGTGTATCAAGACATGGGTGACTACTCGAAAGCACTTGAATTTTACGAAAAAGGACTTAAAATAAGCGAAAAAGCTCTGCCTCCTACGCATCCAGATTTGGCCATTCCCTACAATAACATCGGTGATGTGTATCACGACATGGGTGACTACTCGAAAGCACTTGAATTTCACGAAAAAGCACTTAAAATAAGAGAAACAGCTCTGCCTCCTACTCATCCTAATTTGGCCGATTCCTACAGCAACATTGGTGGAGTGCACAACGACATGGGTGAATACTCGAAAGCACTTGAATATTATGGAAAGACGCTTAAAATCAAAGAAAAAGCTCTGCCCCCAAATCACCCCTTATTGGCTATTTCCTACAGTAACATCGGTTCGGTGTATAACAACATGGGTGACTACTCGAAAGCACTTGAGTTTCATGAAAAAGCGCTTAAAATAAGAGAAACGGCTCTGCCTCCGAAGCATCCTGATTTGGCTATGTCCTACAACAACATCGGTGTAGTGTATAGCACCATGGGTGACTTCTCCAAAGCACTTGCGTTTTACGAAAAAGCCCATAAAATTGAAGAAAAAGCTCTGCCTTCGAATCATCCCGATTTGGCTACTTCCTGTAACAACATCGGCTTCGTGTACAACAACATGGGTGACTACTCTAAAGCACTTGAATTCTACAAAAAAGCGCATAAAATCAAAGAAGAAGTTCTGCCTTCAAATCATCCTGGTTTGGCTATATCCTACAACAATATCGGTTCGGTGTATTATGACATGGGTGACTACTCGAAAGCATTAGAATTTTTCGAAAAGTCACATAAAATCCTCGAGGAAGCTCTGCCTTCAAATCATCCCCATTCTGCTTTCCCATACAACTGGTTCGGAAAGGTTTTTCGGAGTATGAAAGATTACTCCAAGGCACTAGATTATTTTGAAAAGTGTCTCGCAATACGTCAGAAAACCTTACCGAAAGGACATGCGGATCAGGCTATTACATACAGTAATATTGGTGATGTTCATCGATTAATGGGTAATTATGAAAGGGCAATTTCATTTCATCGAAAAGCATTAAATATTCAAGAAAACGTTCGATGTAATCCTCTGGATTGTGCAACGACATATACAAATTTAGGTGAAACTTATCGAAAAATGAAAGAATATTCAACGGCATTAACATATTTTCAAAAAGGATTAGAAATACGTGAAAAGAAACTACCAAAAAATCATCCTGATTTAGCTATAATATATCACAATATGGCAAAATTATATTTATCTACTCGACAATATAATATGGCCATGAAAAATATCCAACAAGCGTTAGAAATTGCTCAAGAAAAATTACCTTCAAATCATCCTCATCTTTTGGATTATAGAAAAACATTTGAAAAAGTTCGAAAGAAGTTGTAATTTTTTTTGTTTTTTGTTTGCTCAATAAATTCGTTTGAATTTTTATTCGTTCACTTTCGCTTACACGCGCGACCAGGGAGAGGCCCCGTAAGCATGTTACAGGTACACACAGAGCGAACCACGTCGGACTGGTAGGGCAATGAACGTAGGTATGGGTGTGGGTGTGGGTGTGGGTGTAGGTGTGGGTGGGTGTGGGTGTGGGTGTGGTTGCACTTCTCATCATTATCCACACCCACACCCACACCCACAGACCCACACCCACACCCACCCACACCCACACCCACAGACCCACACCCACACCCACCCACACCC